AAACTAATGGCAAATGTTGATGACTCAACTGCAAGTTTACCATAACATTATTTTGCATCCCTTTAGTCGACACTGAAGTATTAAAAAGATTACTAAGTCTGTATAAGCGTTCTCTTGTTTGTGTTATTGCAGGCGTAATCAAGAATTTAAAGCATAATATATAATAGAGAACATTGACCTGATATCATTGTCCTAAATGAAGTTGATATTTCGAATCATCTTCAAAAGTTCAAACATTAACTCAAAAACATTAACAACAAAAGGGAACTGTGATGTCACGTCAATATTCTTCATTATGTATTATGCTTTCAATACTGAATTTCGTCTGCAATAGCACAAATAAGAGAACGGTTATTTATACTTAGTTATCTTCTGAATTCTTACTCAACGTCGAGGAGAGGAATGCAAAATAATGTAATGATAAACTTGCAGTTGAGTCATCATCATTTAACATTAGTTTGGTACCACTATCCAACAGTATTAGTGCTGTGTGAAAAGGTTTGTACTCTTTTGGAATTGTGGGATGATGGTATCAACATCTTGTATGCCAAAAATGATAACTTGGACAACTTCCATTAAGTAACATGCTTGAGGCCACTAACAAAAAGAATGGAGATAGTACTCGAGACTGTGTATTGGAGTCGGATTACATTATGACGTTGATGAAAATCAAGATATTGTTGAATTAACCTATATGCAGTAAGTCTTCATAAAGTTAAATTTCGCAAGTCCTACGATGAGGAGGTGAATGGGGGNTAGGTGAAAAAACTTATGAATAATATCATGTGTAACGCCCCGATCAATAATAATAATAGAACGGTTTCACTGCTCGACTATAAGTGAAATTCGTAATTTTCAGAAATTCTAAGTTATGATTTTATATGCTAATGCTCAATTATTTCCTAAGTATGATAGATCATTCTTCGGAATATTCTATTTCAAGTTTAAGTCAAGGCCAATCCATTCATTTGGGTTGATAAGTTATAGCTATTCGACTCGCGAATTTATTTAGCCTCGAACCCTAGTCTCGATCCGAATAAATTTTCCAAGCCATACTCGGTGCATAGTAATACAATACTTAGAATATTTTTCTAAGTGTTGGAGTGTATCATAGTCAAGCCTTGAACCTAGCCCTAGCCAATGCACCGAGCTGCTTGTGCCAAGGCCGCCCCGAGCCTTCCCGCGCCCAAGGTCCGAGCCGAGCCATGCAAAATGCTTGGTTAAGTGTTTGGATCATCCTTGACATTTTTCTAAGTCCTTGGATCACAAAAAGATGCATTATACTCGGCCCAAGCATCATGAACGCGAGCAGCCCACGAAGGCCCGCGCTCAGCCCAGTAGTCCGCGCCCAGCCCGTGCCGCCCAGCAAGCCGCGCCCATGGCCAGCGCCCAGGCCCAGCGCCAACTCACGACAGCCCACCTTCTTGAGCCCAAATGACTAAGTTCCGGCCCATTTTCACCCAAAACCACTTCTTGCGTGTATTAAGGACTTAATGAGGGTTATTTGGAGCTAAGATGGCCCTAAGCAAGTATTAAGAATAGTATATTAGTCCTAACCCAAAGTGGGTGCATGTGCATGAATATTTTAATGAGCTAGTGGAATCTTTGTCCTCCATGCATGCACCAGACCTGGTATCCCACCCATTATGCTCTAAAACTCCACCATGAAGCCTCTAAAACCGTGCTTGACCACCAGCCCTAGTGGAGAATTTCCACTTAAAATGTGTTCCCCATGAGCTTCATTGTAAAATCCGCCCCTCTAACCTATAAAAGCCTCACTTCTTCATAAAAGCCTCACTTCTTCATATTATAGAGACTCTTAGACATTTTTAGACTTAGTAGCTCGAGCACATTGAGAGAACATAGGAGGGAAGGTCGAGAGCCCCTACCCGAGCCACTGCGCGCGGCCTACGCCCCAGGAAGGAAGAGACCGAGCTCCAGCCATTTTCTCACGAGGCTTATCACTTTACAAGTGTTCCTTGGAATTTTATAAGTCTTTTGAGCTCATCAAGTCCAGCCATTTCCACCTCGAACCGAGCCATAGCCCCAAAGGCCGCGACCAGCCATAACTCAACCCTAGCTCTCTTTTTTTTACTTTTGGTGAAGGTTAGCCCGAGACATCTCTTTCTCATAGCTATTTTATGATAAAATAAGATTTATCATGAAGAAAAATCAAGCCATGCACGTCAAAAATCATGAGTTCCGAATTTTATGAATTTATGGCCTTAAATTTGGAATTTGAGTTGCATGCATGCACAAGTAGATTTTGATAGCTTAATCACCCTCATATATTATATCTTTGATGGTGTATAAGTTTGAGCATGATTGGAGTTCGTTTGTTCGGTCATCTTGTTCATGAAAATGTCTCATTTTGGACCCCGAGCCTTATTTTTATGTATGCGAGTTATGACCATTGTGTTAGCCCTTAAAGTCATGATTTTTCATGTTAGGTATTCGGCCCTAAGTAATTTTATAAGTTGAGAATGTTTGTTCGGTGGCTTAGTGTAGCCACGAGCCTTATCGGCCCTCCCGAGCCATATCATCATGCATGATAGTTTAAGTTGCCTTTTCAGCCGCATTAGCCTCGTTTTATGTTGCTTAGTACTCGGCCATGTTCATATGTTTAAGAATTTATAGTTGGTTCGGTGAGTAAGTGCCCGTGCATGCCATTTAGGCCCTACCGAGCAACATGCATGTAGACCCGGAGTCTACTAGTGCTTCTTAACATTTTTGTGGCTATTTTATCATATTGAGATGTTATGTATTTCCTGTCGCTGGAAAAAGTCGTCGGAGGTCCGACAATGGCCGACCATGGTCACTGGTCGCGCATGTAGCGCGGCAGTGCCAGACCCCGTGTCTGTCTATGCCCGCGCCCAGCAGGCGCGAGGTACCGCAGCCCCCAGTGCACGCGACAGCGCCCAGCAGCGTCTGTCCGCGTCCGCGTGCGAGGTATCGGCGCCAGTCGTGCCCAGCACCCTCCGACAACGCCCGACAGCACTGTCCACGTCCATGCACGCGTGGCAATAGCACCCAACGTGCCCAGGCCACATGCACGGTGCCCGGCAGCGCCGCGCCAGTCCCACCGCACGAGGTCTCACGCCAGAGCCTAGTGCCGTGTTCAGTGCCGACCCGAGACGGGTCTGTTGAGCCCAGTCGGCCTTGGGACGTGCCCAGCAGCACGCACCAGCAGGCCCAGCGCGGGACCGAGCTCGGTCAGCTCGAGCCAGCGCCTAACCACCCAGCCCAGGCCGAGCCGGCGGTTCGGCCAGTCAGCTAATCGGCCGGTTCGACCGATGGTTCGAGTCTGTTTTGGTTTGTGATTTCTGGTCCGAGTCTCATTCCAGAATTTTAGTATTTTTTCAATCCAATCCAGTCCAGATTTACTGATCAGATAGAACCGAGCATTTTGGCATATAATTAAATGTTTCGAGCATCATACTTAGCAATTATTTTCTTATATGTTTATGTAGCTTAAGGAGAGTCGAGCCTCCGATAGCTACTACAGTTTTTCAAGCACTTGCCAGATTTTCAGTATTACCAGGTGGGGGCCCTGCACTGGTATTACATTGCATATAATCTTGTACCATTTATTAGGTATGTATGTGGATAACTTTTACCCGAGCGGTCCAGTTTTTTCGTTCGTGGTCCAATTTATGTTGACGCCTAGTAGAGTCACTCGCCCAGTACAGTTTGACTCCTAGTAGAGTCATCCTGGGTTTCTAGGGATGCGACCCCCAGGACGTGATCACATGAGAACCGGCCAGTTACCGGTAGCCTGCACCAGTACAATATAGTTTTATTTATGTATATGCTGAGTTTATGATATTCGATTGTCAGTGTTGGTTCTTGCGAAGTACAGTGGATGAGTACTCACACACCCACTATTATCTTTTTAGGTGATGGAGTGCAGCCCGGAGCGTGAGCCGAGCTTAGTGGTGTGGTGGTGTCCGAGTCAGCTGGACATTTGTTTATGTTTATGTTATGTTGGCATGTATAAAAAATTTCAGACTGTACCGTACTTTATTTCACGCTTCCATACTGCCAACCCAGACTAGTATGTATGCACGCTTTATTTTCCCCTTATCCGTATTTTCCCCAGTCGAAACTTATATGTTGATTTGGGTATATGCATAAGTAACAGAAAGAGAAGTAAGTCAGTAAGTAAGTAGCATCCCGCAAGTTAGTAAGTTTAAACGTTTTTCGAAAACAGTATAAGTATGTTTCGAAAACAACCGCAAATATTTTATCCATTTTTTCGTGAGTCAAAGTTATAGTAGGCGGGGTGTTACGGGGAGGGGGGGTCATCTTGGGACTCGACGGTAATCCGATGATCATCTGGTCCCAAGATGATCCCCTCTCATTCAGCTCCTCCTCGGTGGCTTTCCGAAAACAAGCATTCTGAGACCTGGGTGGGTTTACGGGTTCTCGAATGTTAGAAACAGATACGAAACATGTTTGTGTAATTACTTGGACGTATCGCTCGTTTTTAACACTACATCTCATCATATCNACTGCGAACGGCCCGACCCGGCCCTTGGCTTCATTCAGTTCGGTCCCGGGCTCGGCGAACCGGCGAGACAGGGCGGTCCGATGACCTGGCCCTTGGCTTCATCCAGTTCGGTCCCGGGCTAGGTTCAAGCGGACCGTCGGCAAGGAGGGCCGGGCCGGGCTGGGCCCGAACTCGTTGACTGGCCACGTCTAGTCTGGTATATTCGCTAGTGAGTGGATTAAAAATTTCATAAATTATTACATTTAACGAGTTGGAACTATATCAGTTGGTAACGGTGAATAACCGGCATTTATTCCTACCTAGCCTAGTAATCCCATGAATAGTCTTGTCTAGCGTGATTTGCATGACTGACTTAATTTACCTAACATGAATAAACAAAATAACCTTGTAAGACTTTAATTATACATATCGCCAACTAACCTATAGTATTCAAGTGAACACAGAAAAGTTGTTCGACGAAGTTTTGATTGAGAATATTATAATGAACCCACGCTATCAAAAACTCTAATCCTGTTTTGAAATACTAGGCTCCACCATTCCAACTTCCAAAACTAAAGTGCCTATAAAGCCCCTAATTTTCAACATACACTTCCATATCTCAGCTTCGTGTTTTTTTCATAAATTTCTAAATCTTTTTTCTTGCATTGCAATATATATTCTATTTTCCCTGTCTCAAATGGGCACGAAGAAGATATCCCAGCATCTGGAAACCATGGTTTCACCATCAAGGTTGTTCAAGATTTTGATCACCGAGTCCCAAGAGGTTTTGCCCAAATTCAAAAATTTAATAAAGAGCGTTGAGATTGTCCAAGGCCATGAAATTGCTGCTGGATGCGTAGTCAAGACCACCTTCCCAGATGGTTAGTTAAAACACCGAATAAAAGGTTTTAATTGCACTAAATATGCAAATTGTTGTTTCCTCGCACAAGAACTTTTATTCTCGCTTTAACACGACTTAATTTATAGCTTCTACCTTTACAGTCTATATCTATATATATAATAAAAATAACCAAATCTATATCTATATATATAATAAGAATAATTATTTACTAAAAATATTAGTAAGAAATCTTGAAAGCATTTAATGTATACATTTTTTTACAAACTTTTTAAATATATACATTAATTGTTTTCATAAACACATTTTCAAATAAGATCCAATCATATATGATCAAAAATATTATTTCTTTAAATAATTTAATTAATTTTTATTTATATAATCAACTAAAATTTCAATTTCAATACCAACTGTCATTTTTTCGGACGAAATTGACTTAAAAAAATATTAATGTGCCAAATTAAAAACCCGAACTCTTAGCGGAAAAATGGAAAACAACCTAATTTTGTGGATTAAAATTGCATTTTCTTTTTAAAGAAGAATGATATAAAATGAATAATTGAAAATTTTATAAATAAATAGGAAGCATATAAATTTGTAATAGGCGTGGAGCTTATGAATAAATAAGTATTTACTATTTAAATAATTAGTAGATAAAATATAGGAGGGTGTATTTGTTTAGTATTTTTAAAAGCTTCCTCAATATTTTATGAATTTTTGTGTATTTTACTTGGATTTTTTAAACCTTTTAAGGTGTTGATGTATTAAATTGAGATTTCAAAATGTGTTATTATGTTATGAGGTATTTTAACTTATTTAACTTAGGATTTGGTAAGCTTTTTTAATATTTCTTGAAATTTCAAACAAAAATCATACATAATAAAGAGTTCGTATTCGTTTAGGGTTTTGAGTGACAATTTAAGGCTTTGTAGACTTATGGCTTTTTGAAGATTTGTTAATTTTGTTGAGATTCTTAAAAATCTTAAGTATAAGGTTGGATTTGATGGTAGAATAGTTGGGCTCTTTGAAGAATTTTGATCAATTGTGTATATGCTCTAAATATGTTAAAGTAATCCTAAGCGCACAAGATTTAATGTTAGAATTAAATTCATACTGTTAAAAATTTATCGACTCAGATAAGTCTTACACGAATTACGAGACCGAGGAGCATGTTATAGGACCTTGAGATCTCTTGTTGTATTCCTAACACCTCTTCGATAGTCTTGGTGGAGAAAAATTTTTAAGTTTTCCCTTCAAAATCTCACATGATAGGTTACGGGGAAAGAATGAAGAAGATCTTGGGTTCGAAAACACCATCATTCTCTCTTTCTTTAAACCTCTCTCTCTCTCTCTCTCTCTTAATTTCACGTGTTGGGTGTGTATTCACGAGAAAATGAGAACGTGATTTTGAAGGGGACCTGGTGTATTTATTGTCTATAGTAGGGACATTAAAGAGGTTCTAATGCAGGACTCCCTATTGTTGGATTTTATACGTATGAACCCAGTGTACGCGCAACGGAATTTTAAAATTTTTCTTACCAACAACGAAGATCTGGCTATATCTATTCGATATGATCCTAGATTGCGTAAATGATACACGAAAACTTACAGTTATTCATCTTTTGTCCTCGACTATGGTATCCACACAATCCAGTTTTCGGGTGCACGATCTAACGCCAATGAATCCCTTCTGGTGAAGAAGCTAGGAATCCTCGATCCAGAAAGCTAGAGAGTGTTTTATTTTACGATGTTTCTGTCTTCTCTCATCTAATGATCGTTAAAGACTACAATGAGATAATGACATATTTATAATTAGGTCAAACCTAATTATATGGGCCGTAGGAGATCCTATGGCCCAATAGGTAATTAAACATAATCCAATAATAATTTAATTAAGTATAAATCTAATATAATTTAACTTAATTAAATATTTTCTATCAAATAGAAAATAATTTCATTACTCATAAATAAATATTCCAATCCAATTGAATATTTAACACTCTCGATTCACTCTTAGCCGGAAAACTGATTGCTTATTGTGTGACCCTATAGGCATTCATATATTGACATAAATCTAATTTATGATCCTTACGAAACTCCTAGACTGCGTCGAAGGGCGAACTCAAAATATGAAGTACGTTTACATGGACAAGCACACAAACCTTTTGTGTAGAACTCAATAGTGACACGGTCCCTTCATTCACGAACCACTCGATTAAGCTTAGGATTTGAACGTGTGTCTATCCAAACAGCTTAATCATTTTATCTCATCTCACTGGTTGATTTTATCAATTATATTTGAACACCATTTCAAATATAATCACGTGCATTGGCAAATGACTTTATCAACCCAGTATAGAGAAAACGAGTGTTCTCTCGAAACTATATTCGAGGAATGAATCCTATCTTGGCTCAACTACCAATTCTATGTATATAGTGATCAACCCAACACAAGCCCGTATCTACCCATAAGGGCGTAAGCTTTGGACTAGATCTAAGTAAATCACTCTATACATGAATTGCGTATTGACCTCAAGTCAAAGGACTATTACACCATTCCACGCACCGATACTCCCATAGACACATAAACAAATGGTCTATCGGTAGGGTATACCAATACTCTCTAAAGTATTCATGTGTCTATCACGAATAAAAATTATTCATAGTAGTGAGACATACTATATTCTCAAAGAATATGATGCATACCACATGTCAATCTATCGCGTATCATTAATATCCCTATCTTAATGATCATCGATTTAGGCGATTTAAGAGTTATACTTTATCAATTAACATCTCACTCTGTTAATGATAGTATCAACTCAAGGGAGCAATTAATTAATAAATTGTAAACAATCAAACAATTATTTAATTAATTGCAATATCATAATTATAATCTAATATAATTATTAATGCGATCATTTATATATGTCCTTAAAAAGATTGTCTCTAGGACACATATACCAACACCTATGAGATAAGTGTTTTAGGTTCTGGTCCACCTACACCCAACACGTATGAATAATATTCCATTCCACTAATGGAATATTATTAAAATCATCTCTAGCCCCAAATTACAATTTAGCTCCAGATTACAATGTTTATGAATAAGATTATTCAAATTCATTTCACCATGTTTAATACAAAATGTTTGTTAATTAATTTTATTAATGAACTTCTTGTTTCCGAAACTAGTATCTATCAATCTTATCATAGAAATTAGTCCACTTGCAAGTTTTAGCAAAATAATTCTCCTAAGCTCATTTTATAAACATCACCAACCTAACGTATATGGACACAATGTTTGTAAATAATCAACGTCACATCATATAAACACTATTACTACCCAATCACCAGTAGATTGACTCAATTAATTAATATTACGTTTTGGTAAATCAAAGTAAAAAATATTGAATACACATGTCCGTTATTATACAAAAAATTGAGAGTAAGAGTAATAATTGAGGTCTAATTTTTTTACGTAGTCAATACAAATTGAACTTATCCGTTGTGTTCTATACAATACACTCAAAGTGTACTAGTGTAATCCATTAGCCAAGATCAACTAGTTCCAAAATTACACTACAACTGTTCATAATAATTATTGAATGAATATATTAATTTGTTTTAATGGACATTCTCATTTATGTCTTCCTAATTTTTCTGGTTCTTAATTCTCTTTCCTATTCAATTAGTTTTTCTTTTACTTATGTCCTCTCTATTTTTCTCCTTCTCTCATATCCGTCTCTCTATTTCATTTCATTGAAATTTAGTTATCTCTCCAATCGCAAATGATTTTAAATTCATAAATCAATTTTTTTAGTGTAAATTTATATCTAGTTTATTTTTTACTTATTATAAATTTTTAAACAACTACAAGAATACATACTCTAGTTACTTTATACATAATTTATTTTCATTTCATTATAGTTTTATAAACCAGTATTTTTATACAGACGACAACCAAACATCAATTTACAAAAAAGACTCAACATCTAAAGCATAAAACACGACAGACTATAAATTAAAACGAAACAAAAATCATTAATATACATAATCATGAAATATATCCAAAAAAACATATACAATAATCAACATAAAAAAGCAACAAATTGTTCATATGTCATCTCATAAATTTCCTCATCATCAAATATATCTGCTAACATACCAAATATGAACTATGAATAAACATGAAATAAACATTGAAACATATTTGACCAGAACTATTTGCATGTCGTCGGTGCTCACAAGTAGCGTTCTCATCGTGTCACTAAGACTACGCCGCAGTATGAAACGATCGAAATCAGCCGCTGGTGCCCAAAAGATTGTTGCCTTATTTAGCCAATCGCTGATTTCGAGATCCAGTCACCGTCATTGGTTGATGCCTCAACCACGGATGTCACTCGCTCCCCATTGGCTAGCCACAGGCGTCAGTCAGCCATCATCCTTTTGTTGCATGCTATCGTGAGCCACCATTTGCCCAAAATTGCTTCTTGTTTCCCTCTTATTTGGGCCGCTTTATTAGTATAAATAGAAATTAGGGTTATCATATGTGAAAATAAACTTGATCTCGATAGTGGATGGAGTAATTTTCTCTTTTAATTTTATCTAAGCATTTTCAACCCTAATCAAATAATCGTTTTCTTTTGGGACAGGTGCCCCATTCAAGTTCATGACTCACAGGATTGATGCCATAGACAACGAGAACTATATGTGCAACTACACTCTGATCGATGGTGATGTCCTAGGCGAAAAAGTTGAAAAAGTGTGCTATGAGATCAAATTAGAGGCCTCCGCGAACGGTGGGTGCAAGATCAAGCTCGACATTGAGTATCACTCAAAGGGTGATGCCGAAATAACAAATAAAGAAACAGAAATGGGGACTGAACAAGCTCTAAGGCTCTACAAGGCTTATGAGGAGTATATCATTGCCCATCCCAGCATATTTACCTAAAACATACTTGATCGGTTCCCACTAGAAATGAACTACTTTTCAAATCGAGTGCTTGGGTGTGTTTG